GATTTTGTTGGTTTGCCTTTATGTACCACTTTACTGGTTTGCCTACCCCTATCACTTTGTAGAAAAAAGAATTTATTTCTTCTTCATTCCTGCTCTCATTTAAATGTTTTGCCTCGGCGAGGTTCAGTTTCAGCTTCTCTCTATCTTCTTTTGAAAGATCTCGTCTTAACGACCACCCTTTCCCATCCTCATCCCTTTGCAATTTTCTAGCATTCCTTAGTACTTCTTCCATCTGTTTGGCACCGTTTAGGGTGATCCTCAAAGGTCGATCTTTCCCTTTTACGTACCTGCCTATTCTCCTGTAGTCGCACACATTCTCTCTGTTTGTAAGACCTTCCACGAGGCCAACAATTTTATCTACTACTTTAGCTTCTTCTACAGCTCTTTCTGACCTAGATGTTATCGCCTTTTCTTTGCAGCCAAAAATGATCAGGGACTTACTCCGATCAACTGTGTTTTGCACCAACTTCGGGTTAGATGCCAATTCTTTCCTCACTTCTAGCCTAATGTTTGTTTTATCTTGGTTGCTGCAGTGTTTGACTTCCTTTACTGCTTCTTCTATTTTTTCCTTCTCCTTGGCCACTTGTGCATAAGTGAGTTGCATATCTTTCTTGCACTGTTCTATTCCCTGTGTAACTTCCTCCATCTGTGCTGACAAAAGCTGTTTCTCCTGTTGAATTTCCTTGCCTAACCTATTGTAGTCATTTATGTTTAAATTTACTTTAACTTCTTCCAAAGCTATTTTTAAGAGTTTATTTTCTTCTTCTATGGCTTTGCAATTTGTTTCCAATTGATTCTTATCCTTGCGCAAGTCTTTCACTAAACCCTCAAGACATAAAACTTTGTTATTCAAATGGTCATTACTTTCTTTCAATTTACTAATTATTTCTACATGAGAGTTCACTATAGTATCTAAATTTACCAACTTGTTATGTAGACTACTAATATCAATGCTTTCTTCATTGAATCCCTCAAAATCAAGCTCTGTTTTGTTTTTCCCCTTGCCAGTGGCCATCTTGAATGTTCTTCTCTGCACTGTAAACACTAGGGGCAACTTTTTCTCATCCGATTTTTCACTTCCCTTAGCACTTTCCTGTTATCTCACCTATTTTTCAAGAGCACTATACCTTTATGTTCTCTGGGACACCACTCACTACCATCAACCTGTACTACAATACTTAGGATTGTTGAAATATGCTGGAGCTCCTCTGCTGCAAGTGTTGACCCTAGGGGTGTCCGTGTAGGGTAAGTGTAGATATGATAGAGCCCAATAGGCTCAGGAACCTGTACACCTGTTGATTGACGGTTGAGAGGCGGGACCAAAGAGCCAGAGCTCAACCCCCGCAAGCACAACTAGGCGAGTACAGTATATATATATATGTTGTACCTTGTAGCCAGACCGCATTACTTGGCCTGCTATGCAAGGCCCGATTTGCCTAATAACCCAAATTTTCGTGAATTTATATATTTTTGTGATTTTTTTTATGAAATGATACAGCTATCCATTTCATTATGTATAAGTTAATTTGTTTTAATATGAGTTAAACCTAACGAAGATATATAACCGAACCTAACCTACCCTACCTAACCTAACCTACCTTAACCTAACCTACCTTAACCTAACCTACCTTAACCTAACCTACCTTAACCTAACCTACCTTAACCTAACCTACCTTAACCTAACCTACCTTAACCTAACCTAAAGTAACATAACTAAGTCAATAATTTATGTTCTTAAAATAATATAATAATATTATTTCAATTAAACCAATTGGAAATTTGTTATTGAAAATAAAGAAAATCACTCGGCCTATTAGGCAAATCGGGAGTTGCATAGTAGGCCGAGAAGTGCATTTTGCCTACTAGGTACAACACATATATATATATATATATATATATATAATATATATATAATATATATAATATATATATATATATATATATATATATATATATATATATATATATATATATATATATATATATATATATATATATATATATATATATATATATATATATATATATATATATATATATATATATATATATATATATATATATATATATATATATAATATATATATATATATATATATTATATATATATATATATATATATTATATATATATATATATATATATATATATATATATATATATATATATATATATATATATATATATATATATATATATATATATATATATATATATATATATATATATATATATATATATATATATATATATATATATATATATATATATATATATATATATATATATATATATATATATATATATATATATATATATATATATATATATATATATATATATATATATATATATATATATATATATATATATATATATATATATATATATATATATATATATATATATATATATATATATATATATATATATATATATATATATATATATATATATATATATATATATATATATATATATATATATATATATATATATTATATATATATTATATATATATATATATATATATATATATATATATATATATATATATATATATATATATATATATATTATATATATATATATATATATATATATATATATATATATATATATATATATATATATATATATATATATATATATATATATATATATATATATATATATATATATATATATATATATATATATATATATATATATTATATATATATATATATATATATATATATATATATATATATATATATATATATATAACGTAAAACTCACACCCCCAGAAGTGACTCGAACCCATACTGCCAGGAGCAACGCAACTGGTATGTACAGGGACGCCTTAATCCGCTTGACCATCACGACCGGACAATAAGGAAGTGATAGCCGAAGCTATTTGAACTACTTCCACCTGGGGACCATTCAGGCTTGTTTGCATTTGTGTTCCTCACGTGTGCCCCAAAGAATGAGGTGATTTGATAAAATGCTATGCCCAAGATTACTATCCGAGTGCCGGCGGGGAAGTGGTTCAAATAGCTTCGGCTATCACTTCCTTATTGTCCGGTCGTGATGGTCAAGCGGATTAAGGCGTCCCTGTACATGTACATACCAGTTGCGTTACTCCTGGCAGTATGGGTTCGAGTCACAACTCACGGGGTGTGAGTTTTCAGTTGTATATAGTCCTGGGGACCATTCAGGCTTGTTTGCATATATATATATATATATATATATATATATATATATATATATATATATATATATATATATATATATATATATATATATATATATATATATATATATATATATATATATATATATATATATATATATATATATATATATATATATATATATATATATATATATATATATATATATATGTCGTACCTAATAGCCAGAACGCACTTCTCAGCCTACTATTCAAGGCCCGATTTGCCTAATAAGCCAAGTTTTCATGAATTAATGTTTTTTCGTCTACCTAACCTACCTAACCTAACCTAACCTAGCTTTTTTTGGCTACCTAACCTAACCTTACCTATAAATATAGGTTAGGTTAGGTTAGGTAGGGTTGGTTAGGTTCGGTCATATATCTACGTTAATTTTAACTCCAATAAAAAAAATTGACCTCATACATAGAGAAAAGGGTTGCTTTATCATTTCATAAGAAAAAAATTATAGTAAATATATTAATTCAGGAAAACTTGGCTTATTAGGCAAATCGGGCCTTAAATATTAGGCTGAGAAGTGAGTTCTGGCTACTAGGTACGACATATATATATATATATATATATATATATATATATGTCGTACCTAGTAGCCAGAACGCACTTCTCAGCCTACTATGCAATGCTCGATTTGCCTAATAAGCCAAGTTTTCCTGAATTAATATATTTTCTCTAATTTTTTTTTTATGAAATGATAAAGCTACCCATTTCATTATGTATGAGGTCATTTTTTTTTTATTGGAGTTAAAATTAACGTAGATATATGACCGAACCTAACCAACCCTACCTAACCTAACCTAACCTATCTTTATAGGTTAGGTTAGGTTAGGTAGCCGAAAAAGTTAGGTTAGGTTAGGTTAGGTAGGTTAGGTAGTCGAAAAAAACAATTAATTTATGAAAACTTGGCTTATTAGGCAAATCGGGCCTTGCATAGTAGGCTGAGAAGTGAGTTCTGGCTACTAGGTACGACATATATATATATATATATATATATATATATATATATATATATACATACATACATACACACACACACACACACACACACACACACACACACACACACACACACACACACACACACACACACACACACACACTATATATAAAATAAGCCTAAATCTTATTTTATATACTAAATCTCTAAATTGCACATAACACACATTTTGCCTCAGATATATACATGATAATGACCCATTTGCTGTTGCTAAAAATTTAGAGTCTCCTCTATAGCTGCCCTAAACATTCAGACACTGGATGGTGATGCTTTTCAAGCAATGGCCATAATTTTCTTACTAAAGCTGTAGAAAGAAAATGATTTTTTTCAAGATGGAGGGTGATTACTTGTGGTCTGAGGAAGCAAATGTGAGCTTTATGAATGTGCTTTACTATTTTAAATATGCAAGTCATACTGTATATATGATTTGCGCCATTACGTGACAGTTACTCCCTACATACATGTGTGTTTTGCACACTTTAAGGGTTAAAAATAAAATAGTGCTTTGAGGGAAGTACTGTATAGAGCCCCAGACATTTGACAGAAAGTACTATTACAGGTGTATAAGTGTTCCATGACGCACAGTGTAATCACAATATTTATTAAAGAATTACATTCATATTTATGGCTACAGATAATGAAACAAATTTTTTTAAATAGCACAGGTAAAAATTGTATTGCTGTATTGGAATTGTGTACTTTTACAATGGTATGAACATTGCTAGGTTTTTCTTGTGTTGGAAAACTGGAAGTAACACTAACATAATTTGCAGCATTGAGAACTTGAAAGAGTGAAACATGGCTACAGCTGAGAGGATGGTGGTAATTGTTACTGGAGGGACAGGCCTTGTTGGTCAGGCCATTCAAACTGTTATTAAGCAAAACAGTTCTAGTAATGAAAAATGGATCTTCCTTAGCTCTAAAGATGCTGATCTCAAGTAAGTATAAAGTAGATACTGTATTCAGAATTTTATATGCGAAGTTTAAGAATTACATCCAAAAATACATCTGAACTTGTCTTATTTAAATTCTACTGATATAGGGAAAATTTATGTATAAAGTACTATTTTTATGCTTGATTATTTTATATTTATTAGGAGAACTCCTCAGTGGCTCCCTGAGCATAACCACTTCCACACAGCCTTAGCTCAACACACCAGGCCTTTAAGACCCATCCATCACCTACTGTCAACCAGGACCAGAAACTGGCTCTCACTGAGGATGAGGGGGAAGGGGGAGGGGGAGGAAGCAGGGGATCAGTTGTTATCCACAAAACTGTGCACCCACCAAAAAAACACAGTTGCAACAAAATAATAATACTGTGTACCAGTAATGCTTAAATGAAATTAGGCACCCCTAGGTAAAAAACCAACATTGATTGTAATGAAATAGCTCTTTCTGGAAGAAGCTCTGGAGACTGCCTGAAGCCTCCAGGGAAGATGGACTGGTTGAAGCTTTAGGGAGCTTTATGAAGCTCCCTGAAGCCTCCGCTGAGACGACTTCCCACTACAATACCGAGTCACATCACCCATAGGAACCCTGTATGGTCCACCAGGCACCAGAGCCAGAACCTTGCCCCCTCACAGAGGCACAGGTAGCTGGGGATTGTTAAGATCTCCACACAGAGAAACATCCATAAAGTAAGCAAAGCAATATAGACATGGTTCACATAAAATGAAGCACCAAAACAGCCAAATAACTCTGCAAGTGATTTTCTTGAAATGAGCTCAACCCCCTTAGTGTGAAATGCTGCCAACAGGTGACAATCCAGGAGCTCCATACTTCCACACCAGCAATGAGTCGATTCAGAACCGATACATTCTGGATTTGTCCCGTCTGAACCGGTCGATTCCTTGCCCCTCTTTTTGGATGACTTTGTCTCGGGTCCGTCTGGTGCTCAAGCTTGGATGATTGCCCTGGACCTCAAGAATGCCTACTGTCCCTTCCTTATTCATCCAGGGTTCAGGGATTGGTTAGGTTTTGCTTACCTACTACTTTCAGGCTCTCCCGTTTGGGCTGATTCTGCCACCATGTGTTTTTACGTGCTTGACTCGGGTTATAGTGGCCCGTCTTCATTTTTCCCATTCAAGAACTGACTTTTCTCATTCAAGAACTGGCTGGTGGCTCCCCGACTCACCCAGGCTGGCTCCTCCCTTCCCCCAACAGGGAAGAAGGGGTGGAGCTAATAAGTGAAGGGAGGTTAATTGGGTGAGGTTTTGCTTATTTGTTTTCTTTGTGGGGGGGGGGAGTTCTTTTGATAATTTGAGGATGTAGGTCACATTTTTTAACCAGGAAGTAGTCTGTTTTGATTCGCCTACCTCTCTGGGTGCCTTCCTTGGTCGATAGCAAGATAACAAAATTTAAATGTAAAGTGTTCATGGGCCATTGCTCTCTGTGCCTCTCTGAAGGGGCCAGGTCATGGCTCGTGGGCCTCAGTAGGCATACAAGAACTCTGCAACTGATGATTCTGAGTAGTATGGCACTAAATCAGTATAGATAGCTTCGGGGAGCTGACAGGGCTCCCCACAGAAAAGCATGTAGAATCATGGCTGGTAATAGTGCTTTAGCAAACCATAGTTGGGAAAAGGATCACAATATTCATTTTAACAAGTTTGAAATAATCTATAAAAGTACAGTGGTACCTCAGTTTTCATATTTAATCCTGTTACGACCCTGGGTTCCTCAGTGGAAACCAGAGGTCAGAATTGAGCTAAATAAACTACCTTATAGTATTGGGAACGCATGGCGAGCTGCATTTGTAGTATCTTCCCAGCCAGACATAAGACGATTCTTGTTTCTCACAGAGCATGTAAAGACTGAGCTTGGGGTTGATTATTAAATAATAAAAGAGGCACCAACTATGTTTACTAATACTTTCTAATCATTTGTAAAGTTCCCAGAGATGGAACGAAATCGAAAAATACTAAAACCGAAACAAATTTTCCCATAAAAAATAATATAAATTGAATTAATTCGTTCCACACCCCCAAATATATTAACTAAAAAATCCTTTTCATACAGAATAATACTCGTAGGTACCTTAACTTTATTGAGGACTCTTGTTGACATATGGAAGACAGTGAGGAAGGGGGGAAGTGGACAGGTGTTAGTGTTTGGAAGGGAAGTCTCCTTCCATTATAACAGCAGTGATGACATTTCTGGGGGAACTCTTTCTGTTACGTTTTGCAGGCATACCACTAGGACCTGGTTGTGGCTCACTGCTTGCTTGTCTTGCTAAGAATCATACTACAGACACTTGTTTTCCCTATGTTTTAACACTTGTCTGTAGTGAGACATCACATTGACTATGAATGCTCTCTTGTTTTTCCTCTATCGTCATCCTCACAACTATTTTCTTAGGTTGAACATTACCACTGACATTTTTGGGACCCATGGCATGATATATAATAAGAAGAACTTTTATGTTCAGAAACCAAAAAAAGCACAAAAACAATGAAATTCTTCACAGAGAATTCAAGTGTGATCATCACTAGGCGGGAGACACTGGTAAACTATAGCGTCACGCTCTCGTTAGATCCATACGTGTATAAACAAATTCCGAAAACCAAGGCAAACAACGAAAACCAAATTGAATATTTTGAAGAAATTGAGTGCGAGAACTGAAAAATACGTAAACGGACATACGAAAACTGAGGTTCCAATGTAATAATATTAGAACTACAAGGAGTTCTAATAAATTCTCTGAATACTTTTACTGGTAACAAAAGCTTTACTTCAGAGCATACCTTTACAAGAAAAACTATTCTAAGTGAATTAAAATTAGATCTGAATAAGGGGATGAATGTAAGTAATCCTAATAGCTGCTTTCCTTTGGGTATGGAGAGCATTACTAGGGATAGCATCCAGATAAACACCTCTAACAATAACAACTCCAGTTTTTAGAATATAAGGATTACAAAAAGAACGCCTTATCATATTTCCATAAAAGACATCACCGCAGGTGCATCGGCAGTCGGGAATAGAGGTGACATGATCAGGAGATAAAGAAGGATAAGAGGATTGGATCTAGGGAAGCAGCCGCTATTGGTACTGTTAATGGCTAGAAAAAGCCTCCACTTATGGCCTATTCATGCCCATGCCACCTTTAGGGTGGCTTAATCTATCAATCGTCATCTGCAGTTCCGCTCTTGGATTGGTGCATTCAAGGACACCATCCCCAGATCTCCAGTATCAGCTATGGATACAGATAATGGCTCCAAAGAGCCTCCACTTACAGGCTCACTATAGCCCGTGCTATTTGGAACTTTTTGTTCTGAGTAGCTGAATCTAAAAACAACAAGAACAATAGGCTAGTAACTGCATTAGTCATTGAGATGCAAGTCTCGTCCTAACCACTACTGAGACCTTGACAAAGCACTCAAGAGAGTGCAAAAGACTTGGTGTAAATCTTTACATAAAATTCACAAATACATAATAACATGGGATAAAAATCCACACTTATGTCTATGAGAAGACACTATTATTTCTTAATAATAATAAGTTAACCGATGACTATGGTGGACCACAAGGCTCAAACCTGTTTATTAGAGTTTCTCCATTTTTCTGTTGGAAATATTTTTGGTATACTTGTGTGTGGAGATGGGTTTCTCTTCCTCCTTATCTCCTTATCTACCCCAATATCTGCTTTGGATACCTTGACCCCCCACCCCCTCCCCAGAGTGAGGGTACATGCTGGCTGAGACCATGGGGTGATGTGGGCTGCCTTCTGGTTGTGGTCACGCACAACATGGTAGAGGTATTTACTTTGAGCAACAACTGTTTTTCTTACTTACCCGGGAGTACCTAATTTCTTTAAACATCTTTAGAGTTTTCTCTGTATTTTGTTGTTCTCTGATCCCCCTGCTTCCCCTCACCTTATATAGTGGGCCAGATTCTGGTATCTGACTCCCTGTAGGTGATGGATGAACCTTGGAGGCCTAGGTGTTTAGATAAGGCTTGATGAAACCAGAATTAGGCTCAGGAAACCACTGTGGCTTCACCAAACAAGGAAATTTCATTACATTCTGAACTTTGTGTTTTTTCAAAACAGGAGTGCAACCGAGACCCGTGCTGTTTTTGAAAAGTATAAACCAACTCACGTCATTCACCTTGCTGCTATGGTTGGAGGACTTTATCGAAATATGAAGTATAATTGTGATTTCCTAGTATGTATCTTGAACATCTTAACAGGTTTTCTGATTTGACATTACTCTAGTTAGGAATTTTTAGCAGATATGTTAACTATGTAGTGTGTTGGTATGAATAGTTTAGGTTTCAGTCTCAAGTATTTAATTTTATAGTTGCTATATGTTCATTTTATTTTGGGATTCACTTGCTGCCTTTTATTTTTAAATAGTGAGAATTAATTATTTTCGTTCAATGGATTAAATCTCGTGCATTAAAATCCTACTATATATCCCTATACTGTATTTGTGTACTTTTCTGCTATTCCAAAAAGTGGAATACGCCATCATAAAGCTCCTACTAAGGATAAGAACTCAGTGGTTCAAGACACTGTTTGTGAAAGTGCGAGTGAAGGGAGTTTAGGTGCTCCACTTAAGCCCCATTCCAGGTTCCCAAGGCTTGGGGTACGGCTGTGTGGTGGTGTGGCATTAGCCAACTCCAGTTTGTTGGCTAATGCGATCCAGAGCGGTCGTCAACTCTGGCCTCGGTTTCCTGGCAGCATTTTGCTGTAGTGGTGTCCTCTGCTGTTTGATGTGTGAGGGCCAGGTGTACTTAAGTGTAGCGGGGCTGCATATGCTTAGGGCAACCTTCCCTAAGTTCCCTGTGAGTACTACTTTTGGGTATCAGGGTTCTCTTCCCTGATGCTTTTGGGATGCTATTTCCGTAGGGGTTTTTGCTGCTCGGAATTTACTCCACCCTTGGGGCCAGCTGGGGTTTCGTGGCCCTTGTTTGGCCTTGGGTAGTAGGGAGTGGTATTGTTGCTGGTTGGGGCGTCAAGGTGTTGCACAGCCAGCTTACCTATGCAATGGCCAGTTCCTGTTTCCTCTGGGGAAGTTGTACTTTTGTGGGGGTTTTCTTTTATTTTTTGTTTTGCTTGCCTGGTGTGGCTATAGGACCACTTATAATATTTTGGTGGCTCTCCGCTAGGCCCACATGATTGTACACGTCGCAGGGGATCTCAGTTGCCTGATAGGCTTCACCTTACTTGTGTTCCTGCTGTGTGTTGGCGGTGGCCAGGAGTTCATACCAAGGGCTGCATGCATTTAGGGCTCCCTTCCCTAAGCGCCCTGTGAGTATACCCTTTGGGGGGTAGAGTTCTCTTCTCTGGGTTCTTTGGGTTCCCATTCCTGTAGAGATAGCAGCTGTTTGGCTTTCTACCTCGCCCTTGGGGTCAGCTTAGGTCTTGGTACTTTCGTTTGGCCCTGGGTAAAGGGTGATTGTTGCTGGTTAGGGAGCACCCAGCTTGCATAATCGCTGAGGCTGTCCGGTCTCTTGTTGTTGTGCCTGGGCTCTTGCGCCTTCCTGTGGCCTTGGGTCATGTGTCTGGCAGGATCTGCTGGCTCATCCTGTTTGGCTGGCCTGCTGTCTGTCCTCATGTACGCTTGTTTGTGGGTGCTGCTCTTCGACTATCCTCGCTTATAGATCCTGGGCTGCTTTCAGGCACAGGTGTTTTGGGGGTCATTCTGCATTTTTTGTGGCTTGGTGTCTTGTCTTTGTGATTGGTCCCTGTGCCCTTTTATTGTTTTGGATTGGGTTTGTGTGTATATCATGTTTTTGACTTGTTAACTGCAGTGCTCCCTTCTTCTCTGGTTGTTGCCCATTTGTTCCTTCTCCATGTGTAGATAGCTTCAGGGTGCCACTGTAAGGACACAAGCTTCTTTCTACTTGTCCATACTTAATAAAGAAGGGGGAGGGTAAATATAATGATCTCCATGTGCATTAGTAAACCTCCTCAGAGGACAGCAATACAGTACACAGTCTTTTTCCACGTTTTTCAGGACATACTTTATATAGAACTCATACTTCATATGACAATAGTTAAAGACATTTATAATGGGTAAAAGGACTTTTAAAAATAATAGCTTCTGAAATGATACAGGGGTTTATTTCTATAGACTCTATCTTAGAGGTACAAAACATATCGGGTGTGTGGGTGTAATTTGTAAACAGTACTGTAGTGAATAAGGATTTTACAAGAGATTACTAGTTCCCAAAACTGGGACTTAATTAATAAACAAGCATATTTTAAATCTCCAGTTATTACTACTTTCATCTGGTGCATTTGAAGAGTGTTCTTTCTTAATTCCAGTACAGAGTTATCTCTTCTGTACAATGGGACTTGTGCAACGTGGCGTAACAACCTTTACAAGCCACGTGGCACCTGACACTAAAAATGGAAAATCCCCCAAAATTGCCAGCCATCACTGGGCCATATAAATGAACAATCCTATTCCTACTATTGTATAAGATAGACTACAACTACAATGAAAGTCGCTGCCCAGGTGCCCACATGTTGATGATCATCCGACTTGAGGTAACAGGTGGGATGAGCATCCGGATGTGTATTTTCTGCGCTACGGATCACAGGATGAGTATGGGGTGCACAATAACTAGCTGCCTCTAGTGGCAACAATCAAGGGAACCACCAGAAAGAGGCATTTCATTATATTCAACTCTGGGTTTTATAGGCTACATTCTCTGTATATTGGTATTTTAAACTAAGATGATTAGTGTAATCATTATTTTCCTAGTCTAGTATTTTTGTTTCTGGGATAAATTGCTCGGTAAACTACTTGTCAACTTCATTCACAGCGCTTTAATCAGCTGATAAATGACTCTGTGCTGGAGACCTGCAAGCAACTCAATGTGAAGAAAGTAGTGTCCTGCTTATCCACTTGTATTTTTCCTGACAAAACTCCATATCCTATTGATGAGACTATGGTTAGTAAATTTAAAACTTATTTTGAAATTAATGAGTTTATTGTAAAAATTAAAATCTGTGTTTTTGTAATTGATATTTACCTTGTAGATATTCTCATACTTGTGTTATATTTATGCTCAGATATACTGCAATTGCCATTATCACTCATTATTCCTAGCTTTACGTATTTGCATATTGCTAATTCACTTTATAATGACAGATTTTATAATAATAATTTTTTTTATTTTCTTTGTGGTACATTTCTTATTTTTATGAACTACTGCTCAGTTGATCCCCAGTTAACACAGTGCAGACCCGTTCTATGTGGGGTATTAATCAAGAGTTGTACAAACAATATACGTGGTCAACATTAATATCTACTTTAATTTTATAGGGGATGCAATTCATAGTTTACAAATCTGATCATGTGGCCTTAAATGTTGGTTTAGAACTAAAGAAAGGTCAATAAAAAATCTTAACTAAAAGAAAGTTTTGGGTTATTGAAAAGTCATTGAGGTTGCAGACGAGGAGTCACAATAACGGGGCAGAAATATGTTGACCAAACCACACACTAGAAAGTGAAGGGACGACAATGAATCCTCACTGAGGTTATTTGGGAAAACATCATGTGGCTGGTTATCACGATGAAAATGACAAATTTTCCATAGTGGATGTTTCTAGTGATTTTCTATGCAAGGGTATGTAACCATATCCCCTTTATACATTGGATTGATCAAGTTATAAGAATTTATATTAACTCTTGGCCATTAAATCAATGTTGGCATTGGCAGTCATTAAACTTTATGTATTTTTTAAATATCAAATGACTGATTTTCATACCCCCCCCCCCCATTCATTCATTCTGTCTATACATAGTGGACCATCACCTTAAATACTGTACAGTGTGTCAATTAAAAACCAGCATGAATGTAATGAATTCCAGTTTCTGCGTGAGCCCCAGAGGCATCCTGAACTATTGCTTCCTGAACCCTTTCATTACTTCTGTTGCATCCTGAACCCTTTCATTACTTCTGTTGCATCCTGAACCCTTTCATTACTTCTGTTGCATCCTGAACCCTTTCATTACTTCTGTTGCATCCTGAACCCTTTCATTACTTCTGTTGCATCCTGAACCCTTTCATTACTTCTGTTGCATCCTGAACCCTTTCATTACTTCTGTTGCATCCTGAACCCTTTCATTACTTCTGTTGCATCCTGAACCCTTTCATTACTTCTGTTGCATCCTGAACCCTTTCATTACTTCTGTTGCATCCTGAACCCTTTCATTACTTCTGTTGCATCCTGAACCCTTTCATTACTTCTGTTGCATCCTGAACCCTTTCATTACTTCTGTTGCATTGTTAACTCTTTCAGAGCTTGTGGTACTTCCCTCGGCCCTTTCAGAGCTTCTGGTACTTCCCTCGGCCCTTTCAGAGCTTCTGGTACTTCCCTCAGCCCTTTCAGAGCTTCTGGTACTTCCCTCAGCCCTTTCAGAGCTTCTGGTACTTCTCTCGGCCCTTTCAGAGCTTCCGGTACTTCCCTCAGCCCTTTCAGAGCTTCTGTACTTCCCTCAGCCCTTTCACAGCTTCTGGTACTTCCCTCAGCCCTTTCAGAGCTTCTGGTACTTCCCTCAGCCCTTTCAGAGCTTCTGGTACTTCTCTCGGCCCTTTCAGAGCTTCCGGTACTTCCCTCAGCCCTTTCAGAGCTTCTGGTACTTCCCTCAGCCCTTTCAGAGCTTCTGTACTTCCCTCAGCCCTTTCAGAGCTTCTGATTCTTCCCTCAGCCCTTTCAGAGCTTCTGGTACTTCCCTCAGCCCTTTCAGAGCTTCTGGTACTTCCCTCAGCCCTTTCAGAGCTTCTGGTACTTCCCTCAGCCCTTTCAGAGCTTCTGGTACTTCCCTCAGCCCTTTCAGAGCTTCTGGTACTTCCCTCAGCCCTTTCAGAGCTTCTGGTACTTCCCTCAGCCCTTTCAGAGCTTCTGGTACTTCCCTCAGCCCTTTCAGAGCTTCTGGTACTTCCCTCAGCCCTTTCAGAGCTTCTGTACTTCCCTCAGCCCTTTCAGAGCTTCTGTACTTCCCTCAGCCCTTTCAGAGCTTCTGGTACTTCCCTCAGCCCTTTCAGAGCTTCTGGTACTTCCCTCAGCCCTTTCAGAGCTTCTGGTACTTCCCTCAGCCCTTTCAGAGCTTCTGTACTTCCCTCAGCCCTTTCAGAGCTTCTGTACTTCCCTCAGCCCTTTCAGAGCTTCTGGTACTTCCCTCAGCCCTTTCAGAGCTTCTGGTACTTCCCTCAGCCCTTCCAATAATACAACTGTGAATAATCATTGGCAATTAGTACTGCTTGCTGTGAATTATTAAGATTGTGTGGATTCTTGTGATCATTTATTTGAGCATCTCTTAATTACATAAAACTAAAATGAAGTCAAGTCTGGGGACTGACAGCTCAGTGGACACCGCTCGGGGTTTGTAGTCCAAAGAATCCGGGTTTGATCCCAGTGGAGGCGGAAACAAATGGGCAGAGTTTCTTTCACCATAATGCTCCTGTTCACCTAGCAGTAAATAGGTACATGGGAGTTAGACAGCTGCTACGGGCTACTTCCTGGGGGATGTGTGTGTGTGAAAGTTAGGATTAAGGACTTGCCCAAAATGCTATGTGTGCTAGTGACTGTACAAGAATGCAGGAACTCTTGTATATAAAAATAAAATAAAATAAATATATATAGTTTTAAATACATAATTTAACTTATATGTATAAATAAAACATTATAATTATTGCATGGTCATTAAGATAAATGTTTCTGGAGGGAGCCCCTTGAGGCTCCTTGAAGCAATCTTCCTTAGATTGCTTTATACTGAAAGGTCACATCAGCCATGGATAGTTCTGTTTAGCTAACTAGGGACCAGAGCCAGAACCTGGACCCCTCATGGAGGTGCAGAGAGCAGGTGACAATCTGACACCTCATCAGAAAAGCATTCAGAAAGTCAGAGCAAGCCTTACAGACAACTGAAGGGTTCATAAAAAATGAAGCTTCAAAATTGGCCAAACAACTGTTGAAAATGACTCTCACAGAACATGGATTTCACTGAAATGAACTTGAAACTCATTAGTATTGATTATCACCACCAGACAGCCTTGCCTCAGCTCTCCAGCCAGCTCCCCAATTCAGTTTAGTTGCTGATGATGACGACACCACACCATCTTTTAGTCCTTCTGGTCATGTCAGCTCGTTGGCAAGCCCCAAAGCTTAAAGTTAATTGCTGGCCATTTGCTTTATTGTATTGTTTCCTATTTTAGTGTAGCTTCACATGCATGTTTTCATTTCAGCTTATTATGTGGACATGGCTCTTTGGGCATTTCAGGTTTCATGTACTCGGTCCTCTATTGAGCCCCTTGGTTGGGGACGTTCTTTAGTCGTGTTGGAGCAAACTCGTGGGTTAGCACATGTGTTTACCCAGCATGCCACAGTCGCCTTCCGTAGCTTGGTGTTTTGGCTATAGTTGGTATCTATCTCTCAAACAAGTTGCTCTGGTGCCTGGGGTACCCACTTGATTTTCCATTGGACCTTTGGAGTACCCTGTGTTTTCTGTCATTGTCCTTATGGAGCGGCTGTGAAAGCCCAGTCTTGCGGTCTGTAAGTTTGAGGTATGTTCATCATCTTTACTACTGGACAATGATCATTCTTTCTACCTCTGCCATGTTGCTTGTTGGGTCAGTGATGTTTATGACCCTATAGTATTTAACCTGTACAGTATGACCTGTACAGTATTTAAAAGCAATTATAAAATTGGAAAGTGTAGCATAGACTCCTTGTACAATGTTCTTTATGTGGTCCTCAGTGCAATCATTACACTAATATGTCCACTATTATACACTAAATACCAGGGTTTTAGAGGCCTGGTATTTAGTTAATGTTCCTGGGCCCAGTTGCACATATGTGGCTTTGGGTTCTGTCACCCAGCCTGGTTTCTCTTCTTTGCTTCAAGTGCCTTCTGCTTCGCCTCCCTCCTGGTAACTCCCTTCTTGTTCTCTGTACTTAGATTAGCTTCAGGGAGCCACAAGGGGTTCCTTCCAGAAACACAGTGTGTAATGTAATGAAATAACAATTTCCGCAGGAGCTCTGGTGGCTCCCTGTCTTCCTGCCACTCTCCAGGTTCATATGTTTGTTGTGGGTTTCTGGGGGGAGCCCCGTCGGCTCCCCGGAGCTTTACCAGGCTGATATGCTAATGTCAGACTTTGGCATCAGTCGTGTGTATGGAGTTCTAGGGCCTACCGGGGACCACGGCCAGAACCTGGCCCCCTCAGAGAGGCAAGGAAAGCAATGGCCTATAGAAACCCCCGTGTGGTTGGAAGCATTCTATGTCTGCCATCGACCGGGTCAAGCATCCAGAAAGGTAAACATTCCAAAACAAATCCCCTGTTTTGGTTAAAATTGCTACCAAAAGCCGAACTAGCAGATAAAACTCCCCAACAGAAAACAAGCTAACTAGTATGACGTCACACGTCACCGCGCCACTGTCTGCGCAGCTCCCCCCTCCCCGGGAAGGAGAAGGGGGGTTGGGTTGTGGTGCTGGTTATGTACTCACCTGGTAGGGCTCTCCTGGTTGTGCTTGCGGGGTTTGAGCTCTGGCTCTTGGGTCCCGCCTATATGGAAGAACATGCGGGATAGTACCAGTGGAGTGCAGTGGTGCCATAGGCACAATCAGGGAACAGTGTATAAACATCAGAGGTCTGCAGTTGTTACACGTCCTACCTGCGAGCTTCCGCCATATTGCCGGTACATCCGTGGACTTCCAAGGAACACTAACCTGTTTTCGAATAGAGGTTCTGGCCCATCCTGCCTGTGGTGGGTATGTGGGCCTGCAGGCCGCTCCACGCAACAGCCTGGTGGACTAACCTCTCACATGTCAAGCCTAGCCTCGGGCCGGGCTTGGAGAGTAAAAGAACTCCCTGAACCCCATCCAGAAGGTATCGAGCAGGTATCTCCGCCGTCGGTCGCCAGGTGTCCAGGTTCCTGGGCCTGCTGGGTTCTGTCATGTCTCCGTTGGCCCTGTCTGGGGTCTGCCTGCACCATTCTCTGCCTTTGCAGAGGCAAGTTGCTACTTAAATGTTGCGTGTTGCGGTGGTGCCTGTTGCTGCTGCACGTGTGCATTGGTGGCGTGTCCTTGTTCCTGTGTCTGGTTGTGGTGTGGCACTTTGTTGCTGTTTTGTGCCTAGGGTTTGCATCTGGGGGTTTGCTTGTTATTTTTCGCGGTCTTCAGGTCCCTGGCTTGGCCCTTCCATGTGCATGGAGTTCTGTCCCTGCCTGATTGTCTACCCCCCTGGTTGTTTCCTGGGGTTTGAGCTTTGGCTCTTTCGTCCTGCTTTCCCCAGTTGCTTCCCTGGCATCTCAGTTGGTTGGTTTTGCCTGCACTTGCTGGTATAGGGGGGGGGGAGGTTTCTCCCGCTTCCCTTCCTTATGCGTTCCCTTTGTTTCCTCCTCTGCCACAGGGGTGTTCTTTGTGCGTTCCTTGGCTTCTTGGGTGTTATTTCAGCCTGTGTCTTATGGCGCGCTTATGTGTCTTGGTCTGTTTTCGTTGCTCGTACCCCTTGGTTCGGGTACTGTTCTGGTGGCAACCCTTACACCTTCTTTGTATTTCCTGACTTGCCCTGCCGGTTAGCTTTTCAGGGTCTTGCGATGTCTCGCGTCAGACCCATCGTTTCTGATCTCCTGGCGGGCTTGCTTGCATTGGGGAGCATTGGGGAGCTTTCTGTTCGGCAGACATTCCATCTCCTTTGTGCCGCCTGGGCTTTGGTGGTCGCGCCCGAGATCTTCCCGCGGCTCCGCCTTTTCCTGGGCTCGGAGGTGTCTTGTCGGGGCTGCTTACATTCTGCCTCGCGTGTCTCGCCTCCGGTTGATGGTCTGGTGACTTCGTGGTAGGTGTCCCACCTGAGTACTTCTTCTTGGCGGCAGTATGGGGGTATTTTGGCGGTCCTTCCTTTTCCTCCTGTCCCTTCTTAGGTGGCTGCAGTTGTTAGTGTCAGCTTTGTTTTTCTGGTGGGGGTTGGGGGCCGTCATCGTGCCACGTACTGTTGCCTCGTTTCGTGTGGGGCTGGCGGAGCCGCTTCGGCTTGCTTTCGGTCTTGGTGTTGCTTCTGCACTGTTAGTAAGCTGTCTCGTGCATTGTTTCATCTCCTCCCTTCCCCCTCCCGGGGAGGGGGGGAGCTGCGCAGACAGCGGTGACGTGTGACGTCATACTAGTTTGCTAGTTTTCTGTTGGGGAGTTCTATCCATTAGTTCGGCTTTTGGTAGCAATTTTAACCAGAATAGGGGTTTGTTTTGGAATGCTTACCTTTCTGGATGCTTGACCCAGTCGATAGCAGACATAGAATGCTTCCAACCACACGGGGGTTTCTAAAGGCCATTGCTCCCCTTGCCTCTCTGAGGGGACCAGGTTCTGGCCGTGGTCCCCGGTAAGCCCTAGAACTCTATACACATAACTGATGCCAAAGTCTGACATTAGCATATCAGCCTGGTAAAGCTCCGGGGAGCCTCCGGGTCTCACCCAGAAAAATGGCGTTTCATTACATTCAATGCTGGTTTTTTCATTAACTCCAGAACTGACTTGGGAGATGGCTGGAAGCCAGGGGCCGGATTCACGAAAACACTTACGCAAGCACTTACGAACGTGTACATCTTCCCTCAATCTTTGACGGCTTTGTTTACAATTATTAAACAGTTTACAAGCATGAAAACTTCCCATTCTACTGTTGTTATTGTTATAAACAGCCTCCTGGTGCTTCGTAGCTCATTAACTGTTTAATAATTGGAAACAAAGCCGTCAAAGATTGAGGAAAGATGTACAGATTCGTAAGTGCTTGCATAAGTGCTTTCGTGAATCTGGCTCCAGGGCCAGGCTGCCTGATGATGATACTTGTAATTGGTATTAATATTTTCAAGCTCATTTGAGTGAATCCCTTGTTCTGCATGACTTACTTGTAGTAGTTGTGTGGCAATTGTTGAGGCTTCATTTTTTGTGAACCCTCCAGTTTTCTGTAAAACTGCACTGAACTTATTGAAGCTTCTGGTAAGGTGGGTAATTGTCACTGCTGTGCCTCTGTGGTCCAGGTTCTGACTCTAGTCCTCAGTAGGCCAAACAGAACTGTCCATGGCTGATGTGACCTTTTAGTATGAAGCAATATCAAGAAGATAGCTTCAGGAAGCCACCAAGGGTACTAATAGCTTCAGGAAGCCACCAAGGGTACTAATAGCTTCAGGAAGCCACCAAGGGTACTCCAGAAATTGGTGTTTTAGTACATTCAATGCTGGATTTTTAACTACAGATTCATAATGGTCCTCCGCATCATTCCAACTTCGGCTACAGCATGGCCAAGCGTATGATTGATGTCATGAACCAAGCTTATCATGAGCAGTATGGATGTAACTTTACATCAGTGATTCCTACAAATGTGTATGGCCCTCATGACAACTTCAACCTGGAAGATGGGCATGTTTTGCCTGGACTGATTCACAAGGTCTGTACAACTGTATTTACTTCTCTGTAAATCATTTTCATTTACACTATCAGTACTAAAATAATTGATAATGTAACACATATACTACATAGTCTCACCAGCTTGGTGTCTTCTCTTAATAATTACTTAATGCAACACATTGTTAATTTTGTGCAGAATATATAGTGCATATGAAATTATTATGTTAAGAGGACAATATGAGTAAGAGAAGCACCCTGTGGTGTTGTGGTTAGTGCCCTCAGCCACTAACCTCTATACTGTGGTGTTGTGGTTAGTGCCCTCAGCCACTAACCTCTATACTGTGGTGTTGTGGTTAGTGCCCTCAGCCACTAACCTCTATACTGTGGTGTTGTGGTTAGTGCCCTCAGCCACTAACCTCTATACTGTGGTGTTGTGGTTAGTGCCCTCAGCCACTAACCTCTATACTGTGGTGTTGTGTTTAGTGCCCTCAGCCACTAACCTCTATACTGTGGTGTTTTGGTTAGTGCTTTCACCTGCCACCCTTCACACTTTGGTGGAGTGGTCAGTGCCCTCGCTCACTAACCTCCACATGGTGGTTTAGTACACTGCCAGAATGGTTTTTAGTGCGTCACCAGAATGGCGTTTAGTGCGTTGCCAGGATGGCGTTTAGTGCGCCACCAGGATGGCATTTAGTGCGCCACCAGGATGGCGTTTAGTGCGCCACCAGGATGGCGTTTAGTGCGTTGCCAGGATGGCGTTTAGTGCGCCACCAGGATGGCGTTTAGTGCGCCACCAGGATGGCGTTTAGTGCGCCACCAGGATGGCGTTTAGTGCGCCACCAGGATGGCGTTTAGTGCGCCACCAGGATGGCGTTTAGTGCGCCACCAGGATGGCGTTTAGTGCGCCACCAGGATGGCGTTTAGTGCGCCACCAGGATGGCGTTTAGTGCGCCACCAGGATGGCGTTTAGTGCGCCACCAGGATGGCGTTTAGTGCGCCACCAGGATGGCGTTTAGTGCGCCACCAGGATGGCGTTTAGTGCGCCACCAGGATGGCGTTTAGTGCGCCACCAGGATGGCGTTTAGTGCGCCACCAGGATGGCGTTTAGTGCGCCACCAGGATGGCGTTTAGTGCGCCACCAGGATGGCGTTTAGTGCGCCACCAGGATGGCGTTTAGTGCGCCACCAGGATGGCATTTAGTGTGCTGCCAGAATGGTGTTCAGTGAACCACCAAGGTGGTGGCATTCAGTATCCCACCATGATAGTGACAGTCAGCATCTCGACAAGATGGTGGTGGTCATCGTACCACCAGGGTGGCATGTGGCACCTTTCAGCACATCACCTGAGTGACACCATTCTGTGCACCACGAAGATGGTGGTGTTCAGAACTCCACCAGGGTGCCAGTGTTCAGCACACCAGAAGGGTGGTTGTTTAATTAAGGCATTTCTTTAATTTTCCTGTAAAATGTGTGACTTCATCTGACTTTTCCTCATCCATTTCTGTCTTGTTCCATTTCTTATTCTGTATCTTCATATTCATTATTATTTCAGGCAATGTCTCATTTGCAGGTGTATACAGCCAAGAAAAATGGAACGGACTTTACAGTTTGGGGAACGGGCAGACCACTGCGGCAGTTTGTGTATTCATTGGACTTGGCTAAGCTGATCATATGGGTGCTGCGAGAATATGATGAGATAAGTCCCATTATTCTCTCTGGTAAGCTTCTATGGGATTAGGAAAATGTTTGATTATAAAATTTGTTTCCTTCTTTTGATGCATTTGTTGTGTGACTACCCAAGTGCACTGACATGTAAATCCCCTGCACAGCAGTGAAACTCTTCCACTCACCTTCCATGTCATCACACTGGAAGTCCACCTCTGTCAGCCAAGACCAGTCCTGTGATGGATACTCCACCTGCCACATGCTCCACCACCCGTCCCATCCAGTGCATGGTGTGGCTCGCCGGCAGGCAGAGTGCCTCCGCAAACTAGCAGTTAGCCACCTCTACCAAGTAGTTCTAATAACTAGCAGTTATACAGTCTCTACTCAGCTGTTGTGCAGCCGCCAACTAACAGTTACTGCCAGCCACTTGTTACTGCTCACGTTGACACAAGACGTAACATCACCAGCAGCAGAGGGGTATAAATAGAGCCCTGCAACCCATGGAAGTCAGTCTCTCTCTAGTGGTCTTGGGGTCATCACTGCTTCTTTCACCCGCCATCTGCTACCAGCCTACGTTGTGTGTCAGATGCTGTGGTGGTATGGTGGATGTCTTCAGTTCACCAGTATAATATTGTATTGTATTCATATTAATGATTTCATTTGCTTGTTTTGTTTCTTCTGTTATAATAGCCAAGTGTTTGCAGGAACCATTTTCTGTTATGTTAATTATTATAGAAAAGTTTATTATTTGTTCATCTGTTTCTTGTTTCATCCTGCCACTTACACACTTCAAGGGCTAAAGCAGCATTTTTTAATTTTATGTGAGTAAGAGCCACACTACACCGGCCCAGTATTACTGTACTACTGCATCACATCACATAGAATGGGGGCCTGTCCTAGGAACTGGTCTCAGGAACTGTTCCTATCAACCTTTGCCTAATGTTGTGTTTAGTTGTTATACTTGGCTTTTATACTTCGCATTTTTCAGATTTCATTTTGAGATTTTCATACTGGTGACTGAATATATTTACTTTACAGGTGTAGCAATTTGTGATCTGTTTATTAGACTGACTCTTGATTACGTGATGTTTTGTGCACAAATTCATTCTCATAATGGTTTGTCTTCTAAACTATTGCTATACAGTACAACCCTGATTTGGCAAATCTCTGGCTAGGTCGCACACTTTTCAGGCTGGATTTACTTGCCTGTTTTGACGTACTCTGGTTCGCCAAAGTAGGGGATGTGCGGATTTGCTTACGATGTTGGGACAGAGTTCACAGAGTGGTGGAAAACTTCCCATTCTATTACAGGTTACAAATAATAATTCCTTCATATGACAAGTTGGATCACACAAGTGGACCACACTCATGTGAACCATATTAACCAAACACCAGGCAGAGACTGGTCCACACAAGTGAACCATATTAACTAAACACCAGCCAGAGTGGTCTACACAAGTGAACGACTTGAGTTTCCATGATTTTCGTTCATTGATTTGTGGCACACGTATCTTTGTAAATTAATTTAAAGGCTGAAGTGTGAATAGCTAGCTACGTGCTCTTCAAGACGCTTGTGCTTTCTAGAGTGGAATATAATGACAGTGGCTGCACAATGACAGCCCATTTCAAAGCTAGAGAAATTGCTGACCTGGAGAGCGGACAGAGATCCATTACTGCTTGAATCCTCTCGATAAAACATCTAGACTATTGGGACCGACTAAAGAGCCTAAATCTGTATTCTCTTGAGCGCAGGCGGGAAGAGATACATAATAATTTACACCTGGAAAATAGTAGAGGGGCTGGTCCCAAACCTGCACACAGAAATAACATCACATGAGACCAGAAGGCATGGTAGGACGTGCAGAATACCCCCGTTGAAAAGCAGAGGTGCAATCGGTACTTCGAGACAAAACTCTATCAACATCAGAAGCCTGGTGCTTTTCAACATGCTTCCACTACACATAAGGGGCATAACTGGCTGACCCCTCACAGTGTTCAAGAGAGAACTTGACAAACACCTCCAAAGGATACCTGATCAACCAGGTTGTGACTCATACGTCAGGCTGGGAGCAATGGCCTGGTTGACCAGTCCAGCAATGAAGAAGCCGGGTCGACGACTGGGCCACAGGGTCGCTAAGCCTCAAAATCATCTTAAGGTAGGTAAGGCACATGTTGAAATCTCCTTATAGACATTTTCTGTGATGAAACAAGACGAGTGAGGTTGGACAGATAAGGAAATACTGTACTGTAAACCTCACTGGGTTTTCCTTTGTCTGTGTCATCATAGTTCAGTGACTCATGACTGAAAGTTTTAGATTAATAAATTATTTTTAAAACTATTGTTTTAATAACTATTATCCTATTTATATTTCTAAACTAATTAAAACAAAAAATATACTGTAATATGATAGACATCTGCTATTTGAGAAATTATTTGTTATTGGCTCTAGCTTTCAAAACAACTGTAGCGCAGGTGGACTGATCTGTTCCCTGTACACACAGCACCATTGTGCCTTTCGTTCGAATTTGTCGCTACAGTTCAGTGAGCAACGGCCTTGAAATAATAAAATTAATAAATCATTTCTAAAATAAGTATAATGGAAGGAGACTACCCTTCCATTATTACATCAAGCAGTGATGACTCGGGTACTCTCCTACATTTTGCAGGCATACCACTTGGACCTGGTTGTGGCTCACTGCTTGTTTGTCTTACTTAGAATCAGTCTAAAGACACTTGTTTTCCCTACATTTTAACACTTGTCTGTAGCAAGACATCACATTGTCATTAAAAATGTCAATGCAACGGCCTGCTACAGCTTTATCTGGGTGAGTTCTCAACAAAACTTTGTAGTTCTTCCCATAAAACACATTTTCTTAATGAGGAAGGGACATCCTCTACTGCCTCTACTCACAACTATTTTCTTAGGTTGAACCTTACCACTTACTTTCTTGTGGCCCATGATGTGATATATTATAATTACTTTTATGTTCAAAAACCAAAAAAGCAGAAAAATGAAATTCTTTATAAAGAATTTAAGTGCAATTGTCACTAAGCAGGAGGCACTAGTAAACTGAACCGTGGTCGCCCGTGTCATCAGGAGCCACGAGCTCCGTCGACCCATATGTGTATCAACAAAGTCGCGAGGTGAAGCAAATTTCGTAACCCGATTTGAATTTTCTAAAGAAATAGAGTTTGTAACCCCAAAAAATTGTAAAGAAGGACGTTCGCTACCCGAGGTTCCACTGTAATTACATTTGGAAATTTGCCATTCTCTTGGCTGTGTTTGTCAATACATCTTGGACCAATATTAGCATGCCGGGGTTTTGGTGGTCGAACAGGGATCTGACAGCCAGGTATCTTGTCAATGTTCCTAAACCTCATCGGCCTTGTGTTGCCTTGGGTCATAATTACCAAATGTAGTTACAGGACGAGTGCTACACTCGTGGTGTCCCGTCTTCCCTCATATACCATATACCACTTTGAAAACTATTGATGGTTTTGGCCTCGCGTGTCACAGCTCGTATTTTCTTCTTCATTGTGATGCTGTAAATTTAAGTTAAATTTTGTCATGTATAAAGGCCACATAATATTTAACATTTTACTATTCTGATGACAGTTGATGAAGATGATGAGGTGTCGATCAAAGAAGCAGGCGAGATGGTCGTAGAAGCTTTTGATTTCAAGGGGAAGGTTGTGTATGACACCTCGAAAGCTGATGGACAATTCAAGAAGACTGCCAGTAATGCAAAAATGAGGAAATATTTACCCGATTTCCAGTTTACCCCAATCCAAGAAGGTATTAAGGAGACAGTGAATTGGTTTATTGAAAATTATGATACAGCAAGGAAGTAAAAGGAAATCTAGTTTGAATTGTAGCAAGGTTGAGTTTGTTATATTTCACAGTGTGCATATTTTGAGCACAGTATTTGTTTATTTTGTATTGTAAGTAATCACATGCAAGAGATGTACAAAAGCTGTTACTAGACAAATTCCTTTACTGTATATTGATATCTTTTATGTATAAAGACTTCAAAACATTTTGGTAAATGTACAGTATATTAACAAGTGCCTTTTATGAATAATGTTCTTGAGTTAGATATGTTTGTATTTGCAGTTACAACTGTAACTAAGAAACTGTTCAGGCTTTCTCCATTTATATATGAGGTGTACCTTTTCCTACTCTTCGAGACTGGTAGGCTTTTCCAGTAGCTTAGCATTTTGATGAATTCCAATTTAAAGATTGCTAATCATATATTGACTACTATAATTGTTTTTGTTTAATGGCTATGTTAAGGAAGCAAGCATCATTTATATGAGTTATATATATTTTTACTCCAGTGTTCTATACTTCTTCCAAATTCTTGCATTTTGTAAAGAGCAGTAAATGGTACCTGTTTCAGATAATCAAACCCTCTGTAGTACTTAATTTTTTCTTTACTATTAAATGATCGACAACAAATATTCAACAATTAATGTTTTGCATTCTGATGACACACGAGTGCATTGTCCATACATTTAGCTTTTATGCACAGGCATGTCATCCGTTCAAAAATATTTTAAAGTTGTATCACTTGAAGAGTAGACTCGGCTGACAAGACCTCCACTGGTCTACCACACTGCTCGCTGCCACATAAAAAAAAATTGAGTGTTATATGCACAATTTACACTTAATGCAATATGTATTAAATTAAACATTTTCAAGTACAATAACTACTATATAATTTCTACACTTATATAATTTATGCACATTTTCATGCAATGTAGAGAAAATATATTTAGGAAATTAAATATGTGCAATGTAAAAATGTGTATTAACCCTTGTAAATTCTATGGCACCTTGCACACCTGATGATGGCTTTCAGTTTCTTTTTTTTTCTGTATTCCAGACCACTTCTTTCTGAACATTTTGATAAGTCAATGATCTAAGCATATAAACAGTATTGCAAATAAAAAGAAGAGATAAACTTTTGAGTTTTGCACCCTTATACTGCCATGTCTATCTGCCTAAATTACAATGCTTTCAATATTTATTGAATAAGTAAGGCAAGTAATTTTTTTTTTAACTAATATAGACTAATAATTTGAATGCATATGCATGTATGCACAAGTGTGTGCATACTTCAAACACTCCTGCAGGTCGCACCTGACATGCAGCAGTGTAGAGTACAGAGAAGCTCCAGGATATGTCCAATTCCTAAGTATTGTAGAACAGGTTAATGAACGTGAGTGGTGTCCCAAGAAATATAAAGGTGCAGTGTATTTGAAAAACAGGTGAGATAACACGAATGTGCCAGGGGAAAGTGAAATAATTGGATGAGAAAAAAGTTGCCCTAATGAAAACAGCTCGGACGACAAAATTCAAGATGGCCGCCAGTGAGATGAAAAATAAAACGGAACTAGATTTTGGTGGTTTTAATGAGGAAAACATTAATATAAGCGTTCTACAAAACAAGTTGGCAAAATTAAACATTATTGTGGACTATGATGTTGAAATAATCAGTAAATTACGAGAAAGTAATGACCACTGAGTAGCGAAGTCTTAGATCTCGAAGGATTAGTGAAGGACTTGGCCAGAACAAAAATAAATCTAAAGCAAATTGCAAAACAATGGAAAATAAAAATAAACTTTTGAAAATAGATTTTGAAGAAGTCAAAGCAAATCTAAACATAAATGACATAAAGGTTAGATAAAAAGCTGTTTTTCCTATTGAATTTCTTTGTCAGTACAGATGCCGTAAGTTACACACAGGGTTACAGAACAGTGCAAGAAGGATATGCAACTCACCTATGCACAAGTGGCCAAGGAGAAGGAAAAAAAAAAGCAGTAGTAAAGGAAGTCAAACACTGCAGCAACCAGGATAAAACAAACATTAGGCTGGAAGTCAGAAGGGAATTTGCATCACACCTGAAATTGGTGCAGAACACAGTTGATTGAAGTAAGTCCCTGATCATTTTTGGTTGCAAAGAAAAGGAGATACCATCTAGGTCAGAAAGAGCCGTAGAAGGCGAGAAAGTAGTGGATAAAATTGTTGGGCTCGTGGAAGGTCTTACAACTATAGAGAATGTCTGCGACTACAGGAAAATTAGCAGGTACGTAAAAGGTAAAGATCAAAACCTTGAAGATCACCCTAAACAGTGCTAAACAGATGGAAATAATACAGTGGTACCTTGGTTTACGAATTTAATCCGTTCCCAGAGACAGGTCATAAACCGTAAATTCGTAACTCAAAATGAATTTTCCCCATAAGAATTAATGTAAATTGAATTAATCCATTCCACACTCAAAAATATTAACTTCAAAATACATTTCATACATAATACACACATTTTGTACAAAAGTATGAAGAACTTATAGCTTACCTTTATTGAAGACTTGTTGGTGTATGGAAGACGAGAAGGAGGAGAGGTGTTAACATTTGGAAGGAGGGTCCCCTTCTATCTACATTATAATTCATATAATACAGAATTATATGAACATGTTGACAAAAGAAAGTGTATGGAGCACAACTTGGCAAATGGAATTTAATATGAATAAATGCCATGTTGTGGAATAGGAGAACATAGACCCCCCACACAACCTATAAATTATGTGAGAAATCTTTAAAGAATTCTGATAAAGAGATCTAGGGGTGGTTCTAGATAGAAAACGTCCCCCGAGGATCACATTAAGAACATTGTGCAAGGAGCCTATGCTACACTTTCTAACTACAGAATTGCTTTTAAATATATGGATGGTGAAACACTAAAGAAATTGTTCACGACTTTTGTTAGACCAAAGCTGGAAGATGCAGCAGTTGTATGGTGCCCATTATCTTAAAAGGCACATAAACACACTGGAAAAGGTACAAAGACATGCAACTAAATGGTTCCCAGAACTGAAGGACAAGAGCTACAAGGAGAGGTTAGAGGCATTAAATATTCCAAACTAGAAGACAGAAGAAAAAGAGGCGATATGATCACTACATACAAAATAGTAATGGGAATCGATAAAATTGATAGGGAAGAATTCCCGAGACCTGGAACTTCAAGAACAAGAGGTCATAGATTTAATCTAACTAAAACAAAGCTGCCAAAAAAATACTGTAAAAGAAAATTCCGTTTCACAAATAGAGTGGTAAATGGTTGGAATAAGACGTGAGAAGGTGGTGATCTTGAGATTATTTCAGGGCTTAGCGTCCTCATGGCCCAGTCCTCAACCAGGCCTCCTTTTTGTTACACACCCCTAGGAAGCAGCCCATAGCAGCTGTCTAACTCCCAGATACCTATTTACTTCTTGGTGAACTTTCATCAGGGTGAAAGAAACTGCCCATTTGTTTCCGCCTACACCGGGGATCGAACCCGGAACCTTAGGACTATGAACTCCAAGCGCTGTCCACTCAGCCGTCAGGTTTTGGTGAAGGCCAAAACCATCAGTAATTTCAAAGCATTATATGACAAAGAGTGCTTGGAAGATGGGATACCATGAGTTTAGCTCTCATCGTGTAGCTACACTTAGGTAAATACACACGTACAAAATAGAACTGGAGAATAGGAAAGAAGAAAAAAAAATTCTTCAAGGTGATAGGGACTGGAATGTCTGTGAAATGGTACATAAAACCAACAATGAACGTGATGAAATGCTTCAGGGGAACTGCTACTATGCTGATATAGTGCTAAACTACTAGGTGCCATCAGTTGCAGAATTCTTTTATGCCTACCGAGGACCATGAGCCAGAACTTGGCCCTCCTCTAAAATAATGGCTAAAACAAAGAAAACAAAGGGTCGTACTAAATGGGTTCGAATCTGACTGGAGAAGTGTGGTAAGTGGGGTACCACAGGGGTCCATTTTGGGGCCAACCCTCTTTGTCATTACATCAATGATAGATGAGAATATCACAAACCACATTATAAAATTTTGTAGATGACACAAAGGTACTGTACATGGTAAAGTGGGAAATAATAATGATATTGGAGCCCTACAAAGAGATCTACATGAACTACACAAATGGTCAGAAGACTGGCAAATGTTTTATAACATTGACAAATGCAAGAAGACCTTGCATGAGAGGCATAACAACTCACGCCACACTACCAAATTAATAACATTCCATTACAGCAGATTGGTAAAGAAAAGAATCTTGGAGTCAAAATCCACCACTCGCTGAAAGTTGCACAACAGGTAGCAGCAGTAGTCAAAAAAGCTAACCAAACCCGTAGAATAATCAAGTGTACTTTTGACTTTAAGGAAAGGAAGATGGTGATTCAGTTGTATAAATCTCTGGTGCGGCCCTATTTGGATTACTGTATCCAAGCATGGAGACCCCCATCTTCAGAAGAACATAGCTGCTCTGGAGAAAGTGCAACATTGGGCAACAAAAATCATTCTATAGATAAGTCATCTATCGCATCGGGAATGGTTGAAGGCCACAGGGCTAACCAGGCATGGTAGGGTGGATCTCATTGAAAATTTTAAATACAGTACTAAACAATTTGGAGGATGTTGATTTGGAAAATTTCTTCAAAAGGTCAAATGTAACACAAACAAGGAGCAACAGCTTCAAGCTCAAGCCACAATGTAGGACTAAGAACAGGAGATGCTTTTTCACCCACAGGGTTAACCCATGGAACTGCGAACCTGCTGAAGATGTAAATGCACAGTCTGTTGAATTTCAAAATCAAACTGAAAAAAGATTATCAAGGCAAATGGGGGAACTTTCGACAAGCCATCGCTTTCCTGTCCTCGTCGAGGCCACTAGTGTTAGTGGCCCTCAGGTAAACTCAGGTAAATATGCCATAAAAAACAGGTATTTTCTGCTGGGTTGGAAATTTCTTGCTAGAACAGACCATAAACCCCTGCTAGGATTGTTTGGCAGAGGTAAACAAATTCTGGTTAATGCCAATGCTAGAATTCAATGATGGGCATTGCTACTTTCACAATTTGAGTATAATTTGGAATTTAAGCCAGGCAAGGATAATGTAATGACTGATACATTAAGTAGATTGCCTGTTACAGAAGAGTTGAATTCCAGTGGAATATGTTAATCTGGTAGAATCTATGTCAGTGGAGGATATTTCATTCCAGACTATTAGGAAGCAAGTAAGTAATTATCAAAAGAAAGGACCTAGTCAGGAAGGCTATGTAGCACCATCAACTATTAGGAAGGAAGCTAGTAGAGATCCCAGATTAAATATGTTGATGAAGTATGTCAAGTATGGTTGGAATTATAATTTACTATTGTCAGAGTATGCTGCAGTAAAGGCTGACCTTAGTATTCACCAGGATGTACTCTTGTATAGGAATAGTGGTGGTGGTTCCTGTGGAACCGAGATGTAAGATTTTGGAACAGCTGCATGTAGGCTATAATAACATAAATGCTATGAATGCAGAAGCTAGAAGTTGGGTTTCTGGCCAAAAATGGACCAGGATATTGCTGAAGTAACTAAAAATGTCACATTTGCTTTAAGAATTATCAGAAACCCCAGGCCCCAGTACTTTTCTTGCCATGCACTGGGAAACCTTTGTCTAGACTTCATATAGATCATGCTGGACCTATGGATAACAAGCATTACCTTGTGATGACCAGACCACACGCTAGAAGGTGAAGGGACGATGATGTTTCAGTCCATCCTGGACCATTCTCAAGTCGAAGTCGCAATCGACTTGAGAATGGTCCAGGACGGACCGAAACGTCGTCATCTCTTCACCTTCTAGTATGTGATCTGGTCAACATACTTTAGCCACATTATTGTGACTCATCGCCTGCATTACCTTGTGATCATGAAATTCCATGACATCATCTGAAACATATGAATTGCTCAGGAAAACATTTTGTAATTTTGCATTGCCAGACATGGTGGTGTCAGGTAATGCTCCTTAATTTGTTTCTGGGAAAATGAAGGATTTTTTTTTAAGAAAGAATGGTATTAAACATGTAACACCAACCCCCCCCCCCCCTATAATTCTTCTTCAAATGGCCTGGCTGAGAGAACAGTGAGATCCTTAAAAGAAGGGTTACAGCAATTTAAGAAGGGGACTATTAATACCAGACTGCAGATTTTAGTATTCTCAAAGAAAATTTGATTACCCACTTTTCCAATCTTAATCCCCCCATTTTTACCCAAGAAACAAATTAGAGATGAGCCCAAGCTTTGTCTTGAGGCAAAGCACAATGCTTTAAGCCATACTGATGCTCTGTCCACAAGGCATTCTCCCTTTCGAACTATATACACTAATGGTTTCCTGCACTGCCCAACAGGTGCTGTTGTCGTGACAATGGTTGATTGCTTAGATCTTGAGTGGGGAGTCCATCTAAACAACTGGGCCTCTACCCTTCTGACCGAACTACAGTATTTGCCTTGCTTCTTGCACTGAAATGTGAATAAGTCTCCAGTCTTTATTTATCCAGTCCAGTCTTTATCATTATGGTAAGAGTTCATTTCATGTGGACTCCATCTCATGTTGGCCTCCGAATGCATGATAGAGCTGATGAGCTAGTCAAAGAATCTGCTTTTAAAGGAGAAATTGAGCCTTGGATTGTCAATAAGCAGTCTGAGAGCAATAGTACACCAAGAACTTAAACAAAATCTTGTAGATCTGAGGCAAAGTGAAATCGACACCAGTAATTCCATCTATCATCATACTATCATGCAAGAGGAGCCACACATCTGTGGATTATCCAATAAAATCAGCAGACTCCTAGATGTTACTACTACTCAGCTTAGATTCGGTTACAAAGTATCTCTGAAAATTCTCATTACCTGCTGATGCAGACCTGACCAAATGTAAACTGTGTCAAAAATATTATTCGCACATCCTCCGTCACTATGTGATGGAATGTGAACAGATACGTAAATTCAGAGACAATTGTACAACAAATGTTCAAGAGATGTGTAAATATTTCATTCAAAATGTTCTGCTATCAGAAGTCTTGACCAAATATCCTGTTTGCTAACTGCAGGTAGTAACTGGGTGATTGTAACCTATGCACCGCTGCCCACTGGATGGGAAGGGGGGGCGGTGTGCAGGATAAACTTATCAATTGTGACACTAGTTCTCCACATATGCATGTCAGTTGCTTAATTTAAAATTTGTTCTTGTGGTTGGTCTCGAGTCCATTGTTGATGTGACGATGTGCATTGAATTTTGTAACTAACTCATCAAAACTGTAACTTGCTTAGCTAAATGAATTGTGAGGTTCAGTTCCTGAACCCATTATGTGCCTCTGTAACCCTTTCCACTACCACCCACAAAATGGGTATGGTGTGCATAATAAAAGAACTAACGCTCGCACTTCAAGCTTGCTGCTGGTCACTCACCCGACTTCAATAACTGGAGTGAGAATCAGTGGTTCAAGAAGCTTTGTCTGGTCCTTGAGGCTCAAATCAAGATCATTGTGGGGATCATGGGAGGATTAAACCCATGTCAGTTTTTTTAAACAACGCTGTTTGTCGACCAAATTGTATTTATGCTGCTTTTTCAGCCATGTTTTCCCCTTTTTTATTTTTATATTTATTTGTTCTCAACACATTTTATACTTTATACTCAATTAATATTAAGCTTTAGTCTAATGTTTTTCATGCCCGAAACGCTTTGCGTAATAGTGGCTTTAGGCATTGTATGTACTAGCTCTATCTATTAATCTACCAATTTTTGTAAAATCTCTTGTATGTACCTTACCTGAATAAACATTTATTTATTTATTATTATTTATTGAGGGCCTGCAAATCTATAATCAAGCCAATTGCAAGAACCTCCACCAATAATTATTCCCTTTACGCGAGAAGGTTATAGCCGCATGTTCCTCTGTTCCAGCATCTTAACCCTCTCCCCTCATGGTGCTCCTCTGGTTCCCGCACTTCCCTCTTGGTGTTTATTGGTCACCGTGCTCCCTCCCACCTTTTTTGTGCTCCTCTGGTTCCTGCCTGGTGTTCCTGCACCTATTCCCCCCCCCCCCCCAGCTCTTTGTGCTCCTCTGATCCTGCGCTTCCTGCTTGGTGTTTCTCTGTCCCCATTAACCTCCCACCTTTGTGCTCCTCTGTTCCCGCGCATTCAGCACAATGCTCCTCTGTCCCCGTGCTTATATTTGAGCTCCTCTGTTCCTGTATGGTGCTAGGCTCCCGTGCCCTACACCACCCTTCCTGTGTCTTCTGCAGTCCCTCTTTTGCCCTGGGGCTGTGCCCCCCTCCCTCCTGGTATCCCCGTGTCCTTCCCCCCCTTCTCTCACAGCATGGGCAGCACACCGTGTCACGCTAGCTTGAATGCCTGGGCCTTCCTTTCAGGACCACAGCCACTCTGAGATGGGGGGCCTTTCCGGGGCCTCTTAACATCCAGGCAAGCACGTTACAGTTATGCCCCCTTCAACTGGGCTTCGTTTCTCCTTGGGCAGGTTCGCCATGAACGCTTGCACGGAGAAGTGGTGACCTGCCTACCATCACTTCAATTCTCTGCCTCTGGCCTCCTTCACCGGGCTAAGTCCCTCCTAGGGTGGGCCCAACAGAAAGGAATGTTACGGGCCTGCCCTCCCCTTCTTCAGTCCTCCGCCTCCAGCCTCCTCCTCTTCGGATACATCCCGATGCCTAGGGCATGCCCACCAGGTAAGGAGTTACACACATAAATCACAATTGCGTGATGCATCAAATGAACAAATGCACAAAGGCCGTGACGAGGATTCGAACCTGCGTCCGAGAGCATCCCAGATGCAGCCTTAATCGACTGAGCTGCGACATGGTCAAAAGGAGTTGAAACCTAAGTTCTACTGAACTTACTGGATCCTGCAGCCTCTCCGAGGCACAAACCAGGGTTTTACACAACTCCCCGCATGCACTCGAGCTATGTCAATAGGCCGTTCTACCTCTTCACCCTTACTTCATTACACCGTGCCTTCCCACCTCCCACCATTCACATTAGGATCACATTAGAAGGCACATTACAATGTGCCTTCTCCAAGGCACAAACCTGCTTGATACCTGCTTGATGAGGTTCTGGGAGTTCTTCTACTCCCCAAGCCCGGCCTGAGGCCAGGCTCAACTTTTGAGAGTTTGGTCCACCAGGCTATTGCTTGGAGCGGCCCGCAGGCCCACATACCCACCACGGCCCGGCTGATCCGGAACTTCTCTTAGAAAACAGTCCAGTTCTCTCTTGAAGATGTCCATGGTTGTTCCAGCAATATTCAGCATTGGTCCAAACCAATGTGCCTCGGAGAGGCTGCAGGATCCAGTAAGTTCAGTAGAACTTCGATTTCAACTCCTTTTGACCATGTCGTAGCTCAGTCGATTAAGGCAGCATCTAGGATGCTCTCAGACGCAGGTTCGAATCCTCGTCACGGCCCTTGTGGATTTGTCCAGGTAAGGAATGTTCAGGCCTGCCCTCCGTTTCTTCATTCCCGGCCTCTGGCCTCCTCTTGGGCTCCTCTCCAGCATCAGTACGGCAGGGCCTATTTTATTATGCACCCACATCCATCCACATTCACTCTCCTATTCCCTAAATTTAACAAACCTGGTAATTTGGGCAAAAAACTTCCAGTAGAAGCTTCTCTTAGTGGAAATATTTACACTTTCCTAGCACTTGTTGCAGATTTGCCTATTCACACTCCATCACATAGTGACGGAGGGTGTGTGAATAATTTTGTCGTGAGGCTTACTTTTGGTCAGGTCTACATTTGCAGGTAATGTAAATTTGCAGAAATACCTATAGCTGAGCCTATTATGAGTAGTAGGTTATCTAGGAGTATTTAGGAATTATTTATTTAAGGCCAGTATTACTAGGTTGATAGGGTTTTATTAGGCTACACACATTTATAATGCCCCTTAGATATGTCAAGTGCTTCCTGGTTCATGCGGTGCTTTCAGTGTGAACATTAATCGTATTTATCTTCCAATATTATTCACCGCCAGTATCCCTAGTCCTTTAATTGGCCCTTATAATATTTTAGGCATCGCCTAAATTAAGTTGGGTCACACACTAGCGCCCACTCCCTCAGCCTACCTTCCCCCTTTCAGGCATACTCAATCTAACAGGACAGGCACGACAGTAGTAGATTGCTGAAACAAGCGGGAGGGTCACAAGCACTCGGTCCTGTCCAGCCTATCGCCACCTGGTCCCCTCTGTAAGGGGACCAGGTTCTGTCACTTGGTCACCAGTAGGCCAGAGAACTCTGCAATTGATAGAACCTACATCAGAGTGGTAGCTTCAGGGGAGCCACAAGCCCCCCCCCCCCTCTTCCTCAGAAAAGATAATCACTAGTTTTCAAAGGCACAAACTGTTTTTGTATAGATATAAGACATAGTAGCAGACCAGATGACTCCAGCAGAGGGAGGAGAGATGAATGAAACTATAAAAAGGTTGGTATAAAACCACCATCACAAAAAATGCAATTATGAAGCCTTCCCTTACACATCCTATCTTGCATTTTCATTATTAACGGTGCAAAATATATCTTACAGTATTTCTATATAATTCAAATAGGAGTATTATTGTGAAATTTTTATCAATTAAACGCATTGTAAAATATATTTTTAATGAATATGTTATATATAACATATTACTCTATAATAAAATACACAATAATCATGTCTGAGCATAATCTTTAAACACAATAGAGGAGCCACAAGTTTGCAGCCTTCATCCCTAAATCATTGTCAATTTTAAGAAAGCTTTCTGTGTAAGACTAAATTAATGTACACAGTAGAGCGTCAATCAACCAACATTCAAGTAAATGACTTATCTTACTAAACCTCGGCACACTCATATAACTTCAAACCAGCATGGATTTTACAGTAAAATAATAATACAAAAATAAATATATAAATAATAAGAGTAATAATAATAGTATGTGATGATAAGTCATAATAATTGACTATAATGATCAATAATGACGACATATCTTTTTAATCAGAATAATTCCTCAAAACCGTCTGGAAGCTTGATCAGTTTTTGTATACAAAGTGTTTAAGAAATAAACGTGTAGTGGCAAAATGTTTAATTCGTTGAGATAATCAGCGCTCTACATCATAATGAAGTAAATGCCTAACGTACCCACACAAAGTCTCGTTACTGCAATATACAATTATGGCTTGGCAGAGCTTTACAATTAATATATTTGACTGTAATACAATACAATACAATGCATTCATGGCACAAATTTTCCACCATAAGAGAACTCATAGTAACATTTCACTACTTTTGTTATGCACTTCTACAGCAATCATTTATTATTTCCTTTAACTGTGTAATGTTTTATGTCAATTATGCAGATTTTACTTGCAAGTATCCATGAAGACAATATTTTTTTATTCATTTTTTTTTCTCTTCTGGGGCTTGCGTAGGTGAGGCAGAGGAGAGGCTGCAGGACAGGAGGTAGGAGTCGAGAGATTATGTTACTATAACATAACACACCAGTAACTCACTGTTAAGGACAAATTATTCATAAAAGGGTGTGAAAACAATGAACAATTATCCAAATTCTGAATCTTAAATACAATATTCACTAGTCTGCTGCTGGACTAATGAAAAATATGATACAGTACAAATCCATTATATTTTCTTTTTACATGTCGATAATATTCAGTTTCGAGCAATCTACAATTTAATATAAATTACAAGGCAGTAGACCAGATGTCCTCGGTCACCCATGGAAGCAATATTGTGACGTACAGATGAAAGATTTCTCCCAATATTAGGTCTGAATTTCATGTGTCTAAATGTCCTTTCCCTACTGTTACACTGTTCTATTTACTGTATTCATGCTTCCATCTCTGTACTGTAAATATATAATGAGGTAACCCATAGCTTTCATTTACACTGTTACTTCTTTATTAGGTGCACGTGAGAAATGGTTGATGTGCAGGACACGTGAACTAGCACATACACAAGTCTTCAACACATGGGTGAGCACCTTCACCACCCGAAGGTGCACTAGCTGCAGTCTTGGCCAGCGACTAAGTACCAGTATATTCTCAGCATAGGATAAGAAATACATTATATAGATGCTGACAAAATAAAATTTACATGGAAGAAAACTATTCAATGATAGCTACAAATTTTATTATCTATGACATTCATTTAAAAGTATACATCAAAGAACATAGGAATAAATTCAAATATCCAGAGAAAAGGTATAAAGTTTTCTGGAAGATGGAACTGGCTGGATTGAGAAAACAATTATAGCCAATGTGTTATGAATATATCACACCTGCTCCTTTGATGTGTAACCAAATACAAAAAGTACTTTGGTAGTCAATCCAAACACTGATAAAACTAAAATGATAACAACAGCTGTCATAACTTGACTTTGGATAATTTCCTGGTCACAGTCATGTTAAGTAAACAGCTTCTTCATAAAGTGCATCAAAGAAAGCTCTCAATTAAAAAATTCTCCTCTTATAGCTTCCTTTATTCAGTGTATCCAGCCAAAAGGTGGTAAAATTCAAATGCTTTATTAGCATACAAAACCAGGAAAAACACAGAAATCTCTTGTCATTTAAGACTATTAATAAGTTCACTCAAAAAACATTACAATTATAAAAGGAAAGTTGTTTGCAATGAATCTTTCAACAATAATAATAATAATCACAGCTAGAGCATTCTGCTCCCCAGCAAAATAAAAGAACTTATTACTTTGATTTAACTCTTGCTGCTACCACACATCTCCCTCTACATCAATGAAGTTGCTCATGACATACTAAGGTCATGTGCAGGGTTGTTTGTCTTGCTGTCATCAGCAAGCCCACCTTGGTGAGGATCAACCATCGGCAGACTCTCACTGGCTCTTGCACCACACATCTGAGGGCAACTCTTCACTTGTACCCTCACTTCTCTCTGAAAATCAAACTTACTGATAAAAGAACAGCGTTGAATGTAATGGAACGTCATTTTCTGGGTAAGCCCCGGAGGCTCCCTGGAGCTATCGGGCTAATATGCGATATATTAGACTAGGGCATTAGTCAATGATGTTCAGCCTACCGGGGACCACAAGCCAGAACCTGGCCCCCTCAGAGAGGCACAGGGAGAAATGGCCCCTGGAAAACCCCCTGTGGTTGGGGTTTTTCCTAATCTGCCACTGACCAGTGTTAGGCACCCAGAAAGGTAGGCATAATAAAACAGACCCCAATTGGTAAGAAAATTGCAACCGAAAACAAACAGAGGCAGAACTCCCCCAAATCCCAAACAAACAAGCAAACGTCACACCTCGCTGCCGCGCCGCTTGTCCGAGCAGCCCTCCCCTTCCTGGGAGGGGGACTGGGGAGCCCCGGACCCTCCGCGCCAGCTACTCAACTCCAGTTCGGAGGCTAAGCATCAAAACAATGCGAAAACCGCTGACCAGAGGGAGGGAGGGAGGGAGGGTGCCAGGGAGCCTCCAGGGCTCACCCAGAAAATGGTGTTTCATTACATTTAACGCTGGTTTTCTAAGGGAAGCCTCTTCGGCTCCCTGGAGCTACATAACCAAAGATAAAGAAAATTAGGACTTACCTGGGAGGCGGCCGCCACATGCACCTCAACTCGAAGGTAAGACAACTGGCTGCAACCTGCAACCCAAAGCCGCAAACGAATGCCCAGGACCAGGAGCGTTTACCCAATAACGAGCAGCAAGGACCCTGTAAGACCTCCAAAATCCCTGTGCACAAATGTCAACCCAAGACATGTTGCCAAAAACGGCAGCCAAAGCAACAAACTTATGCACGTCGTGGGCACGAAGATAGACTGCAGGCTGGCTAACCTTAACCACTGAACTGCGCTAATGAGTATTCTCGGTCGGTGGAAAACTGCACCAACCGAGAAAACTCTTTGATTTTTTGGTACCCATTCGAAACGTGCGCGCGATTGGTTGTGTACGAGATGGATGCCTGAAGCCGTCAGTGAGCAGCGGCCAATTTGAAAAAAAATCCCAGATTGCCCTAGGCCCGAGGGTAGCCTCAGAGCAACCATGGCTGACGCACGCACCTCCAGCTCCCAGTCGCCTGTGGGACGCGCTGTTGCAAAACCGCTTTCTCCAGGGGAGATAAACAGTTTATTGTTTGAAGATGAAGTGGAATATTATATTGGTGACCCAAGGGCCGATAGACATAACACAAGGGTCCAACGGAAGTGAAACAGATACAGATACAGATGAAGACGATACAGTGAGTGCGTATCGTTCAGGGTGAGCTGCACGCACAGTGGCGCATCACAGGTCATCGCTCTTGCTAGTATTATCCCCACCACCATCACCTCCATCTCCCATTTTTGACGAAAGTGATATTATCGAGCCATTTTCTGGGTTTAGTGACGCTGCTTCTGATACAAGTAGCATAGATGAGGCAAGGGCTAGCAGCTGCCGTTGCGGTGTTACCAGGCGCAGATCTGCTGTCTCAGCAGGTCGCCCTGCCAAGCGCCATCATGTATCCCCTCACGACGACACCGACGACAGTGTTGCCTCTACATCTACTTCCCTGCTCGCCCTACTAGTAGACAAGGTATGAGACCTCCAACTCCTCCCCAAAGGAGATTTAGTGCAAGAAAACGCACCCGTAGTGGAGTCATTCGTGGCGGTGCTACAAGGAGAACGGCTGAATTTGTGTGGGAGGACTGTGATATTTTTGTACCACACACACCTCAATTTGATCATAGTGATGTGGGGGTTGCACCCATGTTACCGTACACAGGTGACGACATGACGGAAATGGACTATTTTCTTGCATATTTTGATGAGCAGTTCATTCAACATCTTGTTGCCGAAACCAAGAGATATGCAGGGCAACTTATTGAAGGTGGCATATTACAGGCTTCACATATGATACATTGGAAGGACACCACCGTGGCTGAGCTATGTGTGTTCTTTGCTCTACAGTGTATGTATGCTCCAGAAACATTCGGTGAAGCACGTCATACAGGATTATCGGAACAAAGAAGCTGCTGTTCCATCACCTTTGTTCAACAAATACATGTCACGAGACAGGTTCCTGATACTATTACGGTGCCTACACTTTGAAAACCTTGAAAATTTTGATAGAAATGATCGACTTTGGAGAGTGCAAAAATTGTTCAATGATATCAGAGGGAAATTTCATGATTACTTTGTACCTGGACAGAATGTTGTCATTGATGAATCCCTAGCTCTTTTCAAGGGACGTCTTCTCTTCAAATAGTACATCCCATCGAAACGGCACCGCTTTGGCCTCAAATTTTTTGTACTGTGCGACTGTGAAACCGGAATTGTGATGGATATGATATACTCTGGTACAGACGTAGACATACCCGCAGAGGATCCTCATGGGTTTTCTGGCAGTGTGGTGAAGATGCTCATGGAACCACTGCTGAACAAGGGGCACATTCTGTACACTGACAATTATTATACGAGCCCCTTGCTAACAAAGTTCCTGCTTGAACATAACATGGGAGTGTGTGGCACTGTAAAGACAAATAGGAAAGAAATGCCAGTTTTTGAAAATAATATTGGTGTAGGTGATTGCGAACTTAGAAAATGTGACAAAATATTAGCAGTGCGTTGGATAGATAAACGTGAAGTCAATGTGTTGTCAACTATTCACACTGGTGAAATGCTTGACAGTGGCAAAGTGAGGTATCGAGGTGATGGATCATTGTATAAGCCAGATTGTATCATTGACTACAATATCAATATGAGACATAGATAAATGTGACATGATGGTTGGTGCCGTCGAATGTGTCCGCAAAGTGTAAAGTGGACAAGGAAATTCTTCTTTCATCTTGTGGACATAACAGAGCTCAACTCTTTCAACATGTTTTTGGTGAAAATGGGCAAAAAACCATCAATTCGAGTGTTTAGTCATGCTCTGCTGTCGCAACTACTTATCAAGTATGGTCAGGAAGATAGTGTAAGGACAGTTTTTCATGCCCCAACAGGAGCACAGACTGGCTGGTAAAGAGGCCTTTGCAATTCGCAAGCCAAGCAAGCCTGCCTACCTACCACCTACAGGAACTAAGGCCAAAGGCATACGTGAGTGCAATGTTTGCAAGAACTCAGAACGAAAACCAAGGTAGCGAAAATCTGTGAGTATCATATGCGTCGAGTGCAAAGTCCTGCTGAGTCTCATGGGACTGCTTCTTTGAATATCACTCGCTTGCTAAGTACTAAGAGTGTAATAAAGTGTGTTACTTTGTAAATAGTGTGTGAAACTGTATATAATGTATTATTAGTGAATGTAGAACAGGTAATTATTGCAACAATAAACATTTATTAAGGAAACACTTGTGACATGTATCAGAGTTCCATGGAGCATTATGGACGTTATACTTTATTTATATTGTCAGGACACATATATACATCTGATACGACACAAAAAAAATTAGAAAGCATTGAAAATACATAGAAATAATAATTGTAAATATAATTGTGGCAACTAACGAATGGCCAGTTGCCACAATTGAACGGCCTTGAATGGCCATTCTTGAATAACCCTCGCGACCCCCTCTGGGAGCTTCATGCACGGGCGACCAGCCCTTGATGAGGTCACTGCACACCTTGTCCACATCCTCATGGCCAAAGTAAGTGGAATTTGACATTTATTTTTTCATACACATGTTCAGGGAAGGGAATTCATTATTTTAATATGAAAAAATAATTTTTTGGAAACACTTGATTTCATGCGCACGGGGGGGATTTCACAGTATACTCGGCGCATCACAGTGGTTAATAATCCTGCGGATGACCTGGAAGACCAGAGCCTTGGAACAGGGAACAAGAGAAACCGAATCAACCCACAGTGCACCTCCGGCCACCCCGAAGCCGTAGTAGTAGTAGGCATCCTTCAGTCTCGGAAGACTATGGAGTTGCGCCCTAACAGGGCGCAAAGCCTGGGTAGGTAGATATGGAGGAGAAGCTGTTACCCGTGCAGCAGGTCCCCCCTCTCCACGTTGCTGAAATTATCTAATAGAAGGGCAAATGCCAATACACATGGCTCCAGCAACGTCGCAGGAGCTGCCAGAACGAGGTCGACATCAACAACGAACTGCCTCAGGGGCTCCAACTCCGGATTTTTCCTCGAGGTTGACTCCTGAAGCCTTTCCCAAAAAAGGGGTATGGCCGCAAGGTAGCGGAGGTTTAAAATCAGGGTTTTCTTTCCCTACATGGGCTGTCTTTCCAGGCTATCGAGTCCCATCTACCTGGAGCAGCTGGTTTTAAGGCGCCAGAGGTACGCCCTTGCCCCTTCTCCTGTCAGTAAAAGCAGTTCCGCCGAACTTAAAGTCTAAGCCACCCGTGCAGGCCAGGAGTTGGACTTGGTTGTCAAGAGGCTATTGGAGACGCATGCCGTATAGGAGCATTTTATAGGTCATGGGAGCTCGTCCCCCATTACCACCCCCTAGCTATGACAACCCCCTTGGAACCAACGGGTTGTCATAGCCAGGGGGGTAACCCCGAAGCCGTGGCACGCAAATAACGGCAGAGAGCCACAACCGGACACAAGACATGATGCATCCCTCGGCGTGACCAAGCATCAACAACCCAAGGATCCCTCCGGAAAGCAGCAGTCTCATTCTTCACCAGAAGAGAAGGAGACGGCTGCAACCGAACAAACATACCACCAGAACCAAAAGAGCAGAAACCCCTGTGCCTGAGGAGAGCATGAAGCTCCCCGACCTGACCCCCCGAGGCCAATGCCACCAGGAAAATAGAGCCTTGAAAAAACAATTATGAACTGAAGGGGGCCACCTCAAACCGAGGAAAAGAGAGGAATGAGTGTACCCGGTTCAAAGACCAGGAAGGCTCAGGCGACACATGAGCAGGCCGGAGGTGAAACAACTCATGAGACAACTTGCGGAACGGAGCAGACATAACACCAATACCGAACGCAAGCTGCCCC